ATATGGTTTCGTGTGTATTGGGCTGAAAAGGAAACAAAACGCATTAATCACACGTACTTTCCTCCGTCCTATCCAAGGACGGTAGTTTTTTCAGGCTGTCACCCAGGAGTGGAGGAGCAGTAGATGAAAGTGGGCTGGTCACAGTGTAATTAACTTGCACGTCTAAGGCCTCCCCCCACTGCCTAACCCACCCACCTCTCCTCGTCCTGGGTGGCCTAAGCTTCTGTCTGACGTGAATTCCTTCACTTTTTTGAAAGAGCATGTCCCCAAGGGAACTCTCGACTACACTGCTTTTTGCATCCACATCGAAGTGCGAACAAACCTTTTAGACTCGTTTAACTCCTGCATAAGCTATTTTAGATTTAGTATTTGTTAAAGTATACCTCCCTCTCATTAGCCACCCCCCCATCCTGAGGTAAAACTGGTGATTGCGACAATTTAGTACATCTGAAGAGCCGGCAAAATTTCCCATAGTTCAGCGCATAAAACGTTTGACGACTTTAAGTGCATGGACAAGCAAATAATGGGAACTGCTGTATTTCTGTTCCCAAAAATTAGACCTGCAACTATCTGCAGTCCATTAGGAAATTACAAAATGCGTAATTTTTAAAGAAAAAAGGACAGAGTCAACTTGCAGGTTCTGGGATTCATTTGACCGTACTAGCATGGCTTATAGTGAATTGCAGGGCATGAGCCGTCCATGAACGCGTCATTATGCAAGAAACTCGCGTATGGCCTAAGCATGTACGTACCTCCTTTCGTTAGAACATGAAACTTTTTTCTTCTTGCATGCCCGAACGTAGGGTGCACAGGAGATTGCCTATGTCATGCAATTTCAACCGAAATTCCAAAAGCTGTTTTCGATGTGAAAAAAAAATAACTGAAGTGGGCTTGTGATGTTGATTACCGTGCAGTCTAACCTGAAAATACTTCAGTCATGTCGGGATGCTGGTATTCGAACAAACTTCTTTCTAGCCGCCTACAAAAGGCATACTTTGTAAAAATGGCAACTTAAATAGTATGCATTTTTCTCATTGATTTTTAGAACCCTCAAAAATATAAGTATATTTTATACAAAACAAGCACACAATAACATTATTTCTTGCAGCCCTTTTGGTAAACAATTATGCCTTCATTGATGGACGTTCACCCGACCGCTAACAGAACTCATCTATCCCACTCTGCCTAGGGTCCTGACAGAGGCTCTGACAGCCGTAGCAGCTGGTTGTGTAAGCAGATGGTATTGCCAGCAAAGACTAGGGAGACTGGAATGGCCATTTCTGGCTTATTGCCGTCGTCAGTCAGTCATACCCAGATCCAAATGACGTCCTGTCCGAGCCTCGAATTCCATCAACGAATGTCAATATTCCTCAACCTAAACCAGAAAGAAAGCACGCTCTTGGCCCAATGGTTAGCGCATTTGATTCTGATCAAAAAGGTCGCGAGTTCGAGGCTCTAGTGGAACGCCACTTGGGTCTGGGTATGAATGGCTGACGACGGCTAATATGCCGGAAATAGCCTTTCCCGTCTCCCTTGTCTTTGCTGGCAGTACCATCTGCTTATAATTATGCCTTCTTTAAATTTTAAGCTTTAAGAAGAGATATTCGTCGACTTGAAAAAAATTTTGTAGGTTTTCGAATAGTTTTGGGATCCAGTCGCCGATGCATAAACATGTATTTTGTGTGCTCCAGTATCCGTTTTCCTGAAACTAAATGGGTATTTGTGTCTAATTGAATCTTCTGTTAGTACGTTGGGGGCTCTGACGTATTTTCCTGATTTGTTTTATGTATCGCGTGTACTAAAAAGATGCGCAGTTCGTGATTTTTGTGCTTTTTTCCCCAGAGCCAAATATGATTGGCTAAATGTAGGCCGCAGACGGACTTTATTCAACTAGCTTGCTTGTCTTGTTGCGGGGATGCTTCACGTCCACTGCTCGCAGTGCGACCACCAGCTGATTTGATTGCTTGCTTTAACCATCTTCTAGGTTTTTTCTTCTACAAATACAGTCAGTACCAACTGTGTGATTTTGAGATAGAAAAGGCCATTAAGCTCTTGGTTTTTCCTTTTCTCCCTAGGGCTTTAATGTTTGTTTGAATTGGCCAATTTTTAACTCAAATTATATGCACCATTTTTTAGCTCACTCGTCGTGTCTTCAAGGGTATCCCC